GCGTGCCGACCATGAAGGCAAGTGAGTTGAAGCGGTCTCTTTGCATTCAGCGCAGGACGGAGGAGGAGGACGTGCCATTTTGGGAGGAAGATGGATACTCCGGCTACGCCGACGCCGTCGACACGGTCGACACGGTCGACACCGTTGACATGGAGAGGGAAGAGAGGGAGCTCCAGCACCGCTCCGAGATGCTGTTTTCGGAGAAGGAGAGGCGCCGCAACTCCATGCCTGGGCTCACTGTGGCGCCACGCCGCCTCTCGGCCCCAGCAACGGCAATGACAGCGCCCGCTCCAGGCAATGACAGACTGAGGGCTTTCTCTTCGTCCTCGCCCCCGCCGATCTCGAGCCCCAGCTTGGACACAGCCGCTTCGCGCGCGGCCCCCATGGCCCCCGCAACCGCCTCAGCGCCCACCTCAGCGCCCGCCTCAGCGCCAGCAACGCCTGCAACGCCTGCGACGCCTGTGCCTCAAGTCGCAGTCTGCCGTTCGCGCCTCGTGATTGGGGAATCTGCCGTGCGCAGGTCCGAGGTGAAGGGGAAGGTTGAAAAGGCTGAGATGGATGTGTCCAGGGCCCAGCTGCTCTTGCCTGCACTCGCATTTGACATTTGCCGATGCATGAATGTATGAATGTATGAATGTAGGAATGTAGGAATGTAGGAATGTATGAATGTATGAATGTAGGAATGTAGGAATGTAGGAATGTAGGAATGTAGGAGTGTAGGATGTAGGAATGTAGGAATGCAGGAATATAGGAATGTAGGAATGTATGTATGTATGTATGGTATGTATGTACGTATGTACGTATGTGTGTAGATAAAACGTGGTACCCTCCCCCCCCCCCCCCCCCCTTCCAATGTCCGAATGGTGATGGCAGTGCCGCCTTGCCCAAGCGCTGCGCAGCAGCGGCGCAGCAGCGCATCGATCTCCAGTTTGGACAGAGATCGGATTGCCAGGGGGGGGGAGGAGAGCCGAGGACAAAAATGCGGTTGACTCGTAAAGGGGGAGTGTGAGGTTTTTGGGGGATTTGGCAGACACGGACAACAGTCACTTTGGGCCGTCGGCTTCCTCCTGTCAGCATGTCTGGCTTTCTCTGGCTACCCAGAGAAACTTCAGCGAGCTGACTCATGGGGAAAGCTGCAGCTTGTTTGCGCTCATGGCAGTCCACCGTGAGGCGCCGGGAGCAGTGGTTGCAGGCCTTCAACTGCGTTTTGCCGCGCGTTCCTGCGACATCGCATCACAGCTCCTGCACCTTGCTCGCCTTGAACTGACAGTATTTCCTATACTTTTCTCTTCAGGTGCCGCGGTTCCACCCGGCTGCAGCCGCTGCAGTAGCAGCAGGTGACTGAACACGCCTGAATGCGCATGAACCCCCCCTAGCCTCTCAAGCATTCTCTCAATGCCACATCATGCGAAGAAAGCCAGAGCTAAGCTTGAGCGTGAGTTTTATCACAGGAGTCTATCATGGGTTGTTTGGAGCGTTGTTCTACGGGGTGGCTACAGACGTCGTAGACTCTCCAGGAGCCAGTGAGCGCATGCTGGTGGAGACCCTTCTGGTATCGCCGGCGCCCTTCGAAGCTCTAGGAAAGGGCTTTCCGAAATTTTCCGAAGCCCACCTGTTCTGAGGCTCCGAAGATTCCGGGGAACTGCTCTCAAGGCCCAGGGAGGTGTTAAGTTAACAAGCCTCCACTGGTAGCCGCGCGTTGCAGCTCGAGTTTGAAATTTCAGCCTCTCAGCGCGAGAGGCTTGGCGCTGCGACTTCGACAAGCATGGAGTAGGTGCCTCTCTCCCACTTTTGTTTCTCTTGGTACACAGAGAGCGAGAGAAAGAACGCAGAATTGAGTGGTTTATGGGGCGATCAGAGAAGGCAAAGCGCAAGTTTGTTTTTGATGGATGGGCTGGCGTGATCTGTGTGTGATCGACAGTTCTGCGCTTTGTCAGGCTGGGTCAGCCAGGCGGAGTTTGCAAGGGCGTGCCGCTTCTTCGGGTGGCTGCCCCAAAGGATCCCAATAAAATGTTCGGAAGACGCTCCTGAGATGCCCTGTGGCGATGTGTGGCGCGAGCGAGGTGCTCCGCCGAGCAAATCTGGCAAAGCTGCCGCGTCAGCGGAGGAGAACTCCCCCCGAAATTGCACGACAGCTCTCACCGGGGGAGAGAGGTCACAGGGGAGAAGTTGCTCGGGTCACTCGGGGGAGATGACTAACGTGACTAAAGTGACTAGACCCTCAGTCTGTGGTGGCCATGTCGGCTCGACTTGTGCACCCACAAGAACCATCAATATAAACCGTACTATCAACCCATCACTTGAACCTTTGGCGACCGATCTTGCTACCACCTCTCCTATCCCTCTCAGCCCAGAGATCTTTTATGTGAGTCGTTATGGGCGACCCAGTGGGCTGGGGGCGCATGTGATGTCTTGCCTGGGGCGGCTCTTGCTGGAGCAGGCATTGCCTTCTGCTATCGTTTTGTCCCACGAACACTTTGCCACTCCCTGCTGTTTCGTTGGCAGTGGAAACAAACCCTCCCAATCTCCAAAGTGAGCACCACGCGCGCTGTCTCTCTTTTGTGTGTGTGCGCGCGCGTGCACGTGCGCCCTTCAGGCCCAGCGCCAGGAGCACACGGACCTGGAGCGGCTGGGTGAATTTGGTCTTCCCTCATTGTCATCTGTGTCCGTTGCAGGGAGTTCTCCAGGAAAAAGATCTGTGAGAACATGTCGTGGTAGATTTTCGCAGAGTTTGGTAGAGTTTGGTGCCTCTTTGGCCCTCTCTGAGGATTGCCGTGGGTCCCGAGGATGCCAGCTGCACACTGGCGGCGCACCAGTCGGTCCTGGCGGCCCGCAGCCCCGTTCTGGCGGCGATGTTCCGACACCGCTTCCAGGAAGGGGAGACTGCCAAGGTCAGGCTGGTGGACGTGGATTTCCAGTGCTTCAAGGCTTACCTCCACCTCCTCTACACCGGCCACCTGTCAGCATGTATTCAGCATCATTCAGCCATGTGTCGTGTCATAAGAGTGGCCCCCTTGAAGATCTCTCGAGTTTTGCATCCCGCGCGTCCTCTTTTTTATAGGAAGGCAGGGCCGGACCCACCGCGCGTGCTTGCGTGAGCGCAAGAAACGTGATCTACGGATCAAGTGATAGACCGTACCGGCCAGAAGCAGAGACCCTAGAGTCAATGTTAGGAACGTAGAGAGACATTTTGAGAGACTTCTTTGTTTGAGGCGAGCTGGAGGAGGGCATGGACCTGGACCAAGTCTTAGAGGTGCTGATCCTGGCGGACCGTTTCCAGTCCTCGGGCTTCGGAGAGGTCCTGGCTGGGCGCCTCAGGGACCTGGTGAGTTGGGACGAGACGGTGGGCAAGGTCATGAAGCACTACGTCCGGCTCCCCGAGGACTCGGAGTACTCTGGGAGCCTCGTCTCCGTGCGGCCCGGCACCGAAGAGCGCTCTTTAAGCCAGCCTCCTCCCCTCCGCTCTCACCGATATTTACAGTCTTGCGTTCTCTTTCCTTTTGTGAACAAAAAACTTCTCCCTCCCTCCCTCTCTTTTCCCTCCGCTAGCGAGGATGGGCGACCAGCTGAGCTTGCTGAGCTTCAGGGAGGCGCTGCGGCAGACGCACAGAGCGGTCCTGCGGCCGATCGAGGAAGACACCTCTCGGCTCAAGGCACCACCTCGTCACCTTGCATCCGCATGTTTTGTGAAATACACGTACAAATATGTCCAAACGTCCAAACACACATAGATAATATATATATATATACATACATACAAAATGGGGCGTACATGTGTATATGTGGATCTCGATTTACAGGGGCATCAACAATGATTTCTGAGATGGCTCGCACAGTTTGACCGGCTTTGCCCGCAGGCCATCGCTGCTCGAGGCCTGATCTTCTCAATGCTGGCCTTTCCGATCATGCGGGACATTGCCGACGAGGTGCGGTTTCTGGGGGCAAGCTGGCCTCAGGGTGCAGGACGTGTTCGCGGCTTTTTCAAGACATCTGCAGGCAGTCAACAAGAACATCGTGTGCCTGCTTTCACGGATCACGGACACCTTTAGCTCCCTTTGTGAGCTTCCGGATGAGCCATCAGCCAAGCGGCGCAAAGTCACGGAGTGAGCACGCCGCACGCCAAGGCAAAAAAAACGACAAGCAAGAAAACCTGAGAAGGTTTTCCGGGGCCTTCATGTTGAAAAAAGGTGACAGGGACCGCAAAAGGCGTGAAGAGCGTGTTGCTCCGGGCAAGCAGGAGCTGGCATGAAGTTCTGGGAGTCCGGTGTCTCAGAACCTGTGGCCCTCGCACCTTGCGCGCAGCGAAGCGCAGCCTTCTCAACTTTTCGCTTTGCGGTGCGTTGTCTGCCATCCCCTTGAGTCCTTGAGGCTGGACCACGAAGAGGCTTCGAACTTGGAGCTCTTCGAGCAGGCGCCTTCCCATCTCGATCCATCTCGCCTTCCGGTCTTTGCCTTTGAGTGGTGATTTCACCGAGCCGAGTGCCGAGAGGTGCTGTGGATCCGCACGGGCTTTGACCTTTCCAGGGCCTGGGCCAGTGCCTCACAGCTCACAGCGCTTTGAGAGGCATGGAGAGAACGTGAGAGAACAGCTCACACGCACTCTCAGAGGCTTTGCTTTCTTCCCTTTTCCCTTTCTCGGATTTTTCTTTCAAGACTCTTCGAAGTCTCTGAGGCAATCCTGGACCCGAACAACCGTCAGGTGGGAGAAGAAGGAACGTGAGGGGTCATGAGCCGTCCCGAGAGCAAAGGGGGGGGGGTTTTTGATCGTCCCTCCTCGTCGGAGGCCCTCACGCTGCCCGAATTTGTGCGCGGGTGCCGGTGCCGACCCCCAGGGCCAATATCCCCCAAAATGTTCTTGAAAAGACACCCTTAAAGAAGAAAGAAACTCTTCAGAAGCCTCGCTGAGGGAGCTGGGCTTCGATGGCGATGCGGTGTTGGGGCGCTCGGTGAACAGCAAGCACGCAGCAAGAATTCGGTGGCCCTCACAAGTCATCCCTCTGCAGCTCCCAGTCCAGGCACATCTTCAAAGGCAGCGGCAGCGGTGCAAGCTCTGTTCCAGTTGCACCTTTCTTGCACCTTTCCTCAAGGAATCTGCGAGGGCACCGGATCCTTTCATGTCCTTCCTGCAGCCCTCGCTAAGCCATGCGCCTGAAGCGCTGCGGGACATCGGAGCATGTAATCATAGACTGGAGCTAACAGGCTTCTCATGCCTAGGGGCCCCATGGAAGATCACATAAGATCACTTGTAGGGGTCAAAGAAGTCGGAGGGGGTCCAAAAGGCAAAAGGGGTCCAAAAAGAGTCGGTCAGAGGTCTGCCATTTATGGGGGCCAAAGATGCCTTGGCAGCACAGAAGCTCCGCTCCTTGCTCCGGCGCCTCGACAAGGAGAAGGGGGGAAGAAGAGGGGAAGAAGGGGACAAGACAGGTGGTTTTAATACGGTAGGTTGGAAGAAGAGATAAAGAGCAGGCAAAAGGGAAGAGAATCGCTTGTTGTTTTTGGCCGCGTTTCATTTTGCAGGACCACTTCGGGACGGTGAGCCGGCCACAGTTTGAGTGGCTCCTCCGCCGGGGCCCAAAGACAGAAGCTTCTGACCTTTGCCGCTCGCATCGCTCGCTTGGTGCAGCTCTCTCTCTCTCTCTCTCTCTCTCTCTCTCTCTCTATCTCCTGCTCCATCTCTCTCTCTCTCTCTCTCCCCTGCTCCCTCTCTCTCTCTCTCTCGAAATCTCTGTTTCTTTCTTTCTCTCTCTCCCTCTCTCTCTCTGGTCTCTCTTGTCTTTTCGCTGCGCTTCGCAAGCTGAGGCAGCTACCTCCCGGCAGTCGAGACGGTGAGCTCGGGAGACAATTCAACCACACCCTTCTAAATCAAGAAACCCATCTCAGCCCTAAGTGGCCCAAGGTGGCGGGCCCATCATGCGAGACAAGGTGTTTCGGATTTTTTGTTTCAGGTGGGCAGAGAAGACCTGGAGCATATGTGGTCCACCTTCGCCAAGCGTGAGGACGGAGACATCGAGTACGAGGAGTGGAACTCGGAAGAGCGCCTGGGGTGTGTGATTTGTGGATTGTCTGGGGGCATGTTTGTAGGGGAGGCCCCCCCCCCCCCCCGGCCCCGCCCTCGTCAACATGCTCGCAACAGGACCTGATTCAGTGGATCCTGAAGCCCAGCACCCCGCTGTCGGTGACGGCACTGGGCGAGCTGGCATTCTTTGATTTGAAGGCAGCTTTGGAGCCCTTGTTCTGGGTCTGGCTCCCAGATCTCGCTCTCCCAGCTCTGGAGCTCTTGAATCTCACTTGTCTCACTGCAGTCCTCTGAGGCCTATGACCAAAATCGTGATGGTATCATCAGCTGGGAAGAGTTCATGGAAGCCCATGGGATCCTGCAGAATGCCCTTCGCCTGAACCCGCCCAAGGAGGGCGACATCGACCCCGCGATGCTCAAAGGGGACTTGCACCACTGTTACCTGACCATTGGCTCCGAAGGCGTCCGGTCCTCGGAGAGACAGGTCGTGGAGACATCTTCTAAGACTTGCGTGATACGTGCACAAGGCATCTTGAGCAAGTCCAATTCTCTGTGAGACGAGTCGAGACGAACTCTTTTTGTGCGGCGCTCTTGCTGAGGACAGGCGGCTCACCTTCGCCAAGTTTATCACATGGCAGCGGGATGCCCTGATGTCCTCTTCTCTCGCTTCCGACGTCTTGGCGAAGACCCTGCACAGCGTGCCTTTCAGAGCAGCTTCGGGGGATCTTTGTATTTTCCTTCCGCGTTTCGGGTCATTGGTCCAAGTTCGTCAGAATCGGGGCTTGGTCGTCGTGTCGTGGAGTCGTAAAGAGTCATAGAGCCGGCGCGTCTCTTGCTTAAGGTGGCCAAGCAGCTTCAACGCGTTTTCAAGCTCTCTGAGACCCTTGGACCCGTTTGCTCAGATTTTGGCAGAGTGTCAAAAGGGAGTGAATCTGCAACAAGATGTGCAGCGCGGAGCCTGCTGTATCATGTGTATCCTACGCCAGAGTGTCCAAGGACAGAGAAAAGAGGGCAGCTGACAGAGTCAGACAAGCAGGCCAGGAACACAACCATCGAATCGAACGAATCGAGATAGAACTCAAGTGAACTCAAGCGCTTGATCCCCTCTGATTGCAGATGCAGGTTCTTGTCCGCATCCTTCAGCACATCGCCCAGTTCAGCCGGGAGCTCTGGGGGCAATCCGCCTCGCAGTGGACTTCCGTGATCGCTCACAGCTTCGCCAACAAGTGGACGGAGACCCGACACGTGTTACTGCAGTGTTTAGGGGAAGAATGAATCAGGTTGCTGAACTGGGCTTCTCAGCTGCTCATTGAAAGGGGATGGGGCTTAGGATGGGGAGGTGCTTACTAATCGGCTTCGGATCGAGGCACCGGTGGTGGGCATGAACGTGCAGCACCTCCAGGAGGCACACCCCGCAGAATGTAGCCAAGCGCAGGGCATCTCACGAGCGGAACGCAACGGAACGCAACGCCCTGTCCTTCAATCCAAGGTCTTCTTGCACGATTTCGAAGCCGGCCGCCTGAAGTTCAGCGCCCGAGTGGCCTCCAGGGAGTGGGAGATCCTCTGCATTCCAGCCATCCCGGTCTTGAACCGGCCCCAAGCCTGGTTGGCCAAACTCCGGCTGACCACGCAGCTCACGGATGGCCGCAGGCGCCCTGCAGGTTTTTTTTTTTTGCACAGTGGCCTGCAGTCGGCGCCCTCACGTAGCGGCACGCACAGCGGTACGCATAACGGCACGCACAACGGCACGCAAAGCGGCACGCATAGCGGCACGCATAGCGGCACGTCAGGGCCTTCAGGGCTCTTCAGGGCTGATCAGGGCTCCTCAGGGCTGTTTAGGATTCTTCAGGCTACGCAGCAGCTGGCAGTTCTATCGCTATGCACAAGAGCTCTTCACCTGGCACCTCTTGACCGACGGGAAAGTCTTCGAGGTGGGCAGCGTACCAGGGGTCGAACACTGGCGTAATTCAGAAAGTGGGGAGATGTGGAGAAGAATATGCCAGAGTCTGGGGAGATGTGGGGATTCGGCAACTTGTAGCCAGGTGGCCCTGGAGGGCCTGAGCCCTGAGCTGCAACTCTTCTGCTTGCTAAAGACCATGGCCAACTTTGGCGTTCGCCTCACATGGTCCAACTTGCAGAAGGCCTTATCGCAGGCTGTGGAAATGCACAGCATCACAGATGAGCAACGCCGCCTCTGCAACAGTGTCTTCGAGAAGCAGGCCGAAGACAAACGGGCCGGGATTTCCATACGAATTGTTACCCCTTCGAGTCCTTCCACCCCTTCTTGGACCCCTTCGACCCCTTCTAGGCAGTTTAAGGCGGCAGATGCACAATGCTCAGGTGGCCAAAGGGCTTGACGCCGAGGGCCTCTACTTCAGCAGAGAGCGCCTGGAGAGAGTGACCGCGTGCCTTGTGACCACACCCAGCCACGTGATGGGCGTCTTCGCCGAGCCCTGAGAGGGAGCATCTTGTGCTACTTGTGCCGAAAGTGAGGAGCCAGCGATTTCCAGTCGAGATGGGGCTCCACCCTCCCCTCTTTCTTGACTGCTGCGTGAGTGCAAGAGAAAGAACTCAAAAGAACTTCACTCACAAGAACTGCAGAGGCCCATCAGATGCACCCCGCCCCCCCAAAAAAAGCCCAAAGAAAAAAGACCGGAATGCCCAGGCCGAGATGGGTGCCTTTCCTGTGACCTCGGTTTGGGCGGACTTCCTGGACGCCTAGAGGCTATTTGGGCCTAGAACGCCTAGAATGCCTGGAATGCCTTCAGAATCGTCTGAGCAGCAAAAAAGCAAGCTTGAACGAAGCCACGAAGCGCAGCCGGACGCGAAGAAAGCGCAGTGCTCAGCGCGCCGTGGGCCCTTGAGCACGCGGAAGACCCGTGGGCTCTCATGTACAAAGAGGAGGCTTGGGGCATCGGTCCGTGCCTTGCTATTTAGTTGCTGTGTGTTGGTGCTCATCCAAGGGCACCTGCTGCGGGCCATGACGGAACAGAATGTGCACATCTTTGCACACTGAACTTTGCACACTGAACTTTCTGCACATCGAGGGGACATCTGTGGGTGCCAGGTTTGGATCATCACGGCCTTGGGCGCTTGAGCAGGACAGATTTCGAGTATCTCCAACAGGTCTGTTCGTGCCAGCCCTGGTAGCCCTGGTAGCCCTGCTCAAAGATGCCCTGCTTTGTGAGCGCCTCGAAGCGGTTCCTCTCTTGTTCCATGTGTCCCCCTGAAGTCTCCCAGGTGCTCTGCGCAGGCTCCAGTTTCAGCATGTGCTTCGAGTCCTTGTTGCCGCATGACGCTCTCTTGTGTTTCCTGCACCGAGCTTGAAGAGAGAGCGCTTCCCAGCAGGGCATGAGCATCGAGCTGCGGATGCTGCGCAGTTGGGCGGCTGAGGCCCTGTGCTAGGCTGCTACGGCTGCTACGGCTGCTACGGCCACGGTTTCGCTTTCTCCGCAGCCGGTGGCGCCAGGTCTTTGCCGACAGCATCGAGCTGCTCCTGAGGCGTGCAAGACCTGAGGGCCAGATGTCACGAAGAAGGGGGGGCCATGGGGGCCCCTGACACCGAGCCGAGAGCTTTCTGAGAGGCTGAAGATGATTGGCGATCATGCTGGAGGTTGGGTTCAGGCGGCGGTCCCCTAACCCCCCTCGGCCCCCCCCCCCCGCCCTCCCCCTCGCCCTCCCCCTCGCCCTCCCCCTCGCCCCCCCCCCCCCCCCCCCCCCCCCCCCCCCCCCCCCCCCCCCCCCCCTCCCGCGCAAGTTTCAATCTGCGGAAGTTCTCGCAATCCGCAGCCTCGGCCTCTTTGAGCAGGTTTTGGAGCCCTTGGACGCCTCGGAGTTTGCCCGGCGCCTCGAGGCCTTGGCCGCTCCTTTGTTGTTTTTCTTGCGAGGGAAGAGAAAGATGAGAAAGATGAGAAAGATGAGACTTCTTTACAATCAGCCAGCTTGGGGGAAGATTTGGGGGGGGGAGGGGCCATCGCTCAGGTTCTGGGCTTTCCAGGGGATCCTGTCGAGATCGCTGCGGAGGCTCCGACTACCCTTCGCTTCGTTGGCTAACTGGGTGCTCCCTTTTTTGGCCGCCTTCCTGCCTTCGCCGGGAGGTGGCCAGGTGTCGGAGCCCAGGCGTGGCCTGTGATCTCAAGAAGGGGGGGCGCCTAGCAAGTGAGGGCCCTTGGCAGTGAGTGCAGTGAGTTCAGTGGCCAGAGGGAACGTTCCGGGGGACAAGAACCAGTCTGATCTAAGTCGCCATGTCCCGAGTCGAAGCGAGCGTGCCACGGGCCGCTTGCTGCACCAATATCCCCTTTGACAGTTCGTTACCCTTTCCTCTCTAAAGGGGCAGGGGAGCAGGGTGGGCATTCCTTCTCTAACTTCCCGGGACTACATGGGACTACGCAGATGATGCAGGGGAGAAAGCTGTCCGTTGTCTGTGTGGCGGTTGCAAGGTGGTGCAGGTAGCCGAATCTCCGTGGAGCACCTCTGCTGCGCCAGCTCCCTAAGTCAAGCAAGGAATGGCAACTCGATCTATGACAAGCGTCCGAACCATACACCGTAAAGCGTTCTACCTCTGCAACGTCAACTGCAGCTGTGAGCGACTCCGACCTTTTCGAGGCCCTCTTCGGCCTCAGACAATTTCGGCGTGGAAGTCCTGGTGCCCAAGCCGCGGCCAAAGAAGCCGCGAAGGACAAGAAGAGCACGCTCGCTGGGGCCCCGCGACGTCGCCATGTTATCATGTTTGCAGTTAAAGGATGGGAGTCCGATGCCTTCCTGCCATCGGCAAGGTGCGCAAAAAGAACCCAATCAGAAAAGCTGAATGGGACTCCAGCATCTTCTCGGGTGCTGGTCTTACGGCAGAAGGGCAGGAGCATCACTGCAGGGGCTTCCGCACTGCTTCGCACTGCTTCGCACGGCTTCGCACTGACAGGTTTCTGCACCAACATCTCAAGGCGCATGGGAGCATGGGATGTGTCGCTGTGAGCCCCCCAAGCAACCCAACCCAACGGTGGTCTCAACATTTTAAGTGTGGAAAGAGAGAAGAAGAGAAGAAGAAGAGAAGAAGGCCGGCCTCTTTGAGAGTCTACTTCAGCACGCCGCGGCCTCGACGCCCTTCGCCCCTTCCACGCCCTCTCGAATCTCAATGTCACGGTGGGGTGCTGCTCTGGTGGCCTGCTTTCGTGGCCTGCTTTCGTGGCCTGCTTTCGTGGCCTGCTGGAGGCCGCCGAAGGACCCGCAGGCGAAGGAGCCGGGCCTGCAGAGGGCGGCGGCCCGAGAGTCTACAGCAGTGCACGGCAGTGCACAGCAGTGCACAGCAGTGCATGGATGTGAAAGATTTGTGGCGATGTAGACTTGTTCTCTCCCCAAGGCGGCTTCCAACCCGACACTGGCCAGGTCTTTGGACTGTTGCTCATTGTGCCTCTTTCCTCCGGGGACCTGACTCATGGGGGGTTGTTGCCACGCCCGCTTTTAGCACCACGACCAGGTTGTTGGGCTGAGAACGTTAAGAGGGTTATCTCGACTTCCGGTAGGATCACGGCAGTTCCCGAGGTTCATGTTCGGTCCTGGTTCAGAGTGCCCCCTCCCCCTTTGAGAACCCGTTTGCAGGTCGGCCCCCACGCCTGCCGGACGCAAGGGAGCTCTCCAGGCGCCGGGAAGAGCGCGAAGGGAACGCGAAGAGAACGCAAAGAGAATGAAGATGGCAGAGACAGCCTGGAGTGGAGGAGCGAGGCCGCAGCGCATCGCCGACCGAGCGCCTCCCACGCCGGGCCCTGCGCTCGGAGACCCGAGCAGGCCCGAGCAGATTCTCAGCGTTTTGAGCTTTGCTTTGGTTCGGCTGTGCTTAGGTGCGTCCGGGAGAGCTGAACCACCGACCCTGAGCGCATGAGCCTGCCATTGATCTCCTCGCAGCACACCAAAGTAGAGACAACGTGCCTTCAAAGAGGATCTCAAACCGGGCATTTACCACACTTTGGGGCGAAGTCTTTCCGAATTTCATCCATGCCGACCCTGGGCCACTGGGCCTTCGACGAAGAGTCCCCTGCCAAGCAGGGCGGCTGCGGACCGATTTCTGGGGTTGAGCTTAAGTTAATGGTTTTATTGGCTATCATCTATCGCAAACTGGATGGAAGAAGCTGTTAAAATGCGTGCGATGCTGTGCTTATCAGGCAGCTGCCCATGATCTCGAAGTGTTTCGGCGGAGCTCGCTTGGAAGCTTTGTCTCTTTTGACTTCATATGTGCAAGTTGTCCTCCGCAGCATCCTAAGCAGAAGCTTGAATCTCAAGCCGCAACATGCGAATTTGCTGTGCGATTATACCCTGCGGGCGCACGCGCACGCGCCGTGTGGACCACCTCGGTCCCTCCACACACGCTGTCTTGTGAACCCTCTGTCTTGTGTGCGACATCACGACATACACAATCCGGTGCGTGTAACAAACTGGAACCCTTTGCTTGCGTGCGTTATCACAACATACACAACCCAGTGCCTGTAGCAAATCGTACCACGTGAGGTCGCAACATACAGAACGCACGATGGGCAACAAACTGAAACGCCCTGTCTTCGGCCAAGGGCACCCAAAACCTCAGGTTAGCTGATCGCAGCTATGCCATTCTGCCATGTTATGCTGAGACATACCTTAGCCTTCAACTCAATGGCACTACATGGCTTCAAGGCCCTGTTTAGAAGGTACCAGTAGCATGTGGCCTTTACCATTAAACAGGGCAGACATGGGCAGACCAATTTAGCCAGATTGATTGCATGCACTCATGGAGAAGCAAATTTGCACCTGGGTTTTTATTCCTCACCCCTTGTTCACAGACTCAAACAGGTGGTTTTGCTCATCCGTGACGAAGAGCAACAACTTGGCACCCCGAGCTCCAACTGTATGCTCACAGCCATTGCGGAAGCCCTTGATCTGCAGTTAGGAGATCATCGGCAGCCAGCTGGAGGCTCTCGCCCTCATGGAGCTACTGGAAAGGAAGCAATGCGGCCTGTTGGCGATCCCCCCGGGGCTTGTTACCCCGCAAACCATTGGTGCTGCTATCCAGCAACACTTAGACAGGGGCCTTGGGCTCTGGCAGGATCTCCCGGAGACCTCAACAAAAGCTTGCACCGAGGTCCCCTGCCAAGGTCGGCCCCAAAGTCGCCCACGGGGCTTCCCTTGGCAAACGACCACCCCATGCTCATACCAACCGCAAACGCCATATCTTGGCGTCCTGCAAGCCTTGCATAGGCTTCGCAGGGACACTCCGCCTGCGTCTACGACGTTGCATCAGCTTGCTGGATTAAAAGGCCTAGAGGATCTCCCCCCGCTAAACCTGTCACTCGTGTCCTCCATGCGCCTCCCGCCGGAAATTGGATATGCCCTTGATATCTGTCGGTACCCTGAAGCGTGCATTTTTCAACCTGCTGGGCAGGCAGGACGTGAGCCGTGCCTCATGTTACCCCCGGCACCTACAGAGTACATGCTCAGGCAAAGGCCACTTGCCACCTCCCTTGGCACGTGGGTCGAGACATGCAGATGGGTGGGCCTCAAAATAGATGACCCAGAAAATACCCAATTGAGCCCTTATTATAGATTGGCTTATCGCCGATGTCGTTCTCACCCTCGGGCGCAGTATCACGCCTGATACTCCAATTGGCTTTGTGTCGCAGTACGAGAAGATAGTCACTGGGCTCAAAAGCAGCCTTGCCCTAACGCACGATGGACCCGCCCGAGTGCAAATCTTGCAATCAGCTTGCAATTCTATATGTTCGTTCTTGTGTGTTCTTGTATTTCTTCGAGGCTCCGCATGTCAGAAAAGATCTCCTCTTCCCCGGAAAGAAATGGACAAGCACCATGGGCTTAGCACTTAGAGGCGAGCCTTCGACGGAGTCGATTCTTGCACCTGCGGCTTTTTCTTTCTGATTCTGAGGGCTCAAAATGCCTCAATTGTTTTAGGGGTTTAGTGGTTTAGGGGTTGGGTTTAGGGGTTAGGGGTTTAGGGTTTAGGTGTTGTAGGGGTTTAGGGGTTTAGGGGTTTTAGGGTTTAGGGTTATGGGTTTAGGGGTTCAGGGGTTTAGGGGTTAGGGGTTTTAGGGGTTTAGGGGTTTAGGGGTTTAGGGGGTTTAATGGGTTTAGGGTTTAGGTTGAGGGGTTTTAGGGTTTAGGGGTTTAGGGTTTGGTCTAGGAGCTGGCGAAGAGTCGTGGGACAGCAGGGGTGTCAGGAGGTATGTTGCCGGACCGCAGTCTGCCATCCGAATGGCTTGCGAGCTCTGGGCCTGTGTAAGGGCCTGGAACTTTCAAGGTTTAGGGTTTAGGGATGCAGGATGTGGGCCGAATGCTTTCGTGTATTTGCTCTTTGTTTATGATGGCAATCAAGCTTGCTTCTTGTTTTCTGGAGGGTGCCCACGTGACCCTTCTTCCTTGCACCTTTGATCCTCTTCATAAGGGACTCTGGTTCCGAAAGTTGCCTCTATAAGGAGACAGTCATACTGAATATGTCTCCCTGGCATGTCGAACCAGCAAGCCGTTGAACACCATGCACCCGTCATAAACGCGTCTTCAAAGACATGCAACGACACCCGTATCGAAACTCTCCGACCCTGGGCCGGTACTGCTACGAAACAGGGGCCTGCACACACGTTCCGCTGACCATCGAAGAAGATGCCGGGAGAAGTTTAGGGCTTACCCAAAGGCTCCTATGTAGTGCCTTTTTGGGGTGGTATACTAGAATCCCCCACAACTAACCCCAAAAAGGAACTACGTTGGAGCCTCCAGGCAGGGCTTAGGGCGTCAAGTGTAGGGCTTCAGGGAACTTGTCCACAGTAGAAGTAGGTCCTTGTATCCCCGAAAGGATAACCAGTAAATACACTCACCAATAAGAAAAAAGGAACCTTATCTGAGTTGTGCTTTAAACCCTTTGAAAATTATTTATGAATAGGTTCCCTCATAAAGAAAGAAGGGAAACTAAAGTAAAAATTATCCCAACGCACAACCCAGTTATATACGCTCACCAAAAACAGTAATATAAATCCTGTTTCACATAGGCCCCGAACCAACCCTGGTCCCCTTGGCCTCTCGATGCACTCCGGGGACCAGCAGATGCGGTCCTGCTGGAGCTGGAGGTTTAGGGTTTAGGGTTTAGGGTTTAGGGTTTAGGGTTTAGGGAGTTTAGGGAGTTTAGGGTTTAGGGTTTAGGGTTTAGGGTTTGGGGTTTGGGGTTTGGGGTTTGCGATTTGGGGTTTGGGGTTTGGGGTTTAGGTTTTGAGACCTCATGTCGTAGGGTTTAGGGTTCAGGGCTCAGGGCTTAGGGTTTAGGGCATGGACGTAGCTTGGTGTATCTCGTCTTTGCTGTGCTGGCAAGGGGGGGGGGGGGTACTCAAGGGCCTTTCGTGCTCCGGGATGGTGCGCCCTAAACCCTAAACCCTAAACCCTAAACCCTAAACCCTAAACCCTAAACCCTAAACCCGTACCCCCAAAAAGAAAAGCTGTAGCTATCGAAGCCCCGACCCCGAAATCCTCCTCCAAACAGACCGAGCTCGAAGTTAGCAGAGGCTGCCCTCCACAACCCCCTAGGGTTTAGGGTTTAGGGTTTAGGGTTTAGGGCTTAGGGCTTAGGGTTTAGGGCTTGCGGCTTCATGCGACGGTTTAGGGTTGAGGGCTTAGAGCTTAGGGCTTAGGGCTTAGGGCTTCAGCCGGCCGTCGTGTCGTTGATGATGACGCCCATGAGGCCGAAGCCAAACACCTCTCCAAGAACTGCAACGACTTCCCTAAACCCAAAACCCAAAACCGAAAACCCAAAACCCAAAACCCAAAACCCTAAACCCTAAACCCTAAACCCTAGCCCTAACCCTAAACCCTAAACCCTAAACCCTAAATAACTTTGGTGGGGTGCGGGTAGGGCTGAGGCCTCTTCGGGCTGCAGACCCTGAAGCTCCCACACTTCTGACAGTGCACCAGGCAAGCAACAAAGACACCCTCAAAAAAACAACCAGGGTTTAGGGTTTTATGGTTTAGGGTTTAGGGCTAGGGTTTAAGGGTTTCAGGGTTCAGGGTGTTAGGGTGTTAGGGTGTTAGGGTGTTAGGGTGTTAGGGTGTTAGGGTGTTAGGGTTTTAGAGTTTTAGAGTTTAGGAATCAGGGTTTTAGGGTTTAGGGTTTTAGGGTTTAGGGTTTCGTGTTTAGGGTTCAGGGTTTTTTGGGGTTCAGGGCTCAGGGTTTAAGGTTTAGTGTTTTAGGGGTTAGGGTTTAGGGTTTAGCAGAAGATCCCCACAACTCCAAAACCGAAATCCTAAAACCCCAAGAGCCCCCAAGCCCCCAAACCATAAACCACCCAAAACCCTAAACCCGAAACCCCCTAAACCCTAAACCCTACACCCTAAACCCTAAACCCTAAACCCTACACCTTACACCCTAAACCCTGATCCATCCTAAACCCGAAACAAGACCAGCAGCCGAGAGGGCGCGGCAAGAACTTTGAAACGCTGAACCGCCCTAAACCCTAGCCCTAAACCCAAAACCCAAAACCCTCAACCCTCAACCCTCAACCCTCAACCCTAAACCCTAAACCCTAAACCCCAAACCCTAGCCCTAAACCCTAAACCCTAAACCCTAGCCCTAAACCCTAAAACCTTAAACCCTAAACAAAAGGCCAGAAGGCGGGGCCCGAGCACTATAGCTACGACCGGAAGAACCCCAAGCCTACTTGCAGGTTCCTACCTAGAACCGTTTAGGGGTTTAGGGGTTTGGGCCTTAGGGTTTGGGATTGGGGCCTGGGCCTAAACCGTAAACCCTAAACCCTAAACCCTAAACCCTAAACCCTAAACCCCTAAACCCCTAAACCCCTAAACCCCTAAGCCCCTAAACCCCTAAACCCCTAAACCCCTAAACCCCTAAACCCCTACACCCCTAAACCCCTACACCCCTAAACCCCTAAGCCCCTAAACCCCTAAACCCCTAAACCCCTAAACCCCTAAACCCCGCGCCTTCACAAGGATGGGCTGCTTGGCGCAAGCGGTGGGGATGAGCACGTGGCTCAAGCTCCAGGAGAGGTGCAGCCTCGGAGATCGTCGGGGTCGTTACAAGGGTTTAGGGTTTAGGGTTTGGGGTTTAGGGTTTAGGGTTTAGGGTTTGGGGTTTGGGGTTTGGGGTTTGGGGTTTGGGGTTTGGGGCTTGGGGTTTGGGGTTTGGGGGTTTGGGGGTTTTGGGGTTTAGGCGTTTAGGGGTTTAGGGCCCTTAGTATGGGCCTTTCATCGGGGATACCTTATATATCGTACGCCATAAAGCTTCAGAACTCTACAAAAAGCAAGAGGCAATGGAACTAAGACTTCAGAACAGGCAGGGTTTGCAAGGCTAGAGTGTTAGGGTTTGATAGGGTTTTTCTGGTTTAGGGCGATATCAGCTCAAGAGACCGAAGCCACCTCTTAAGGGGGCGACAGATTCATGCTCGCGGCGTAGGCGGTGGCCGCCGCGCACTCCCGGCTGATCTGCACGATGTCCTCCTCGTTCAAGCGACTTAGCTAGGGTTTAGGGTTTAGGGTTTAGGGTTTAGGGTTTAGGGTTTAGGGTTTAGGGTTTAGGGTTTAGGGTTTAGGGTTTAGGGTTTAGGGTTTAGGGTTTAGGGTTTAGGGTTTAGGGTTTAGGGTTTAGGGTTTAGGGTTTAGGGTTTAGGGTTTAGGGTTTAGGGTTTAGGGTTTAGGGTTTAGGGTTTAGGGCTTACATGTACGGGTTGAGGGTTCAGGGTTCGCCTTGATGGCCAAGCAAAAATCTCCTGGGCTTAACGGCACAGGGCATCCGAATCCTTCTAAGAACAGGAGCTCCAAATTCCCAAAATAAACCCTAAACCCTAAACCCCAAACCCTAAACCCTAAACCTTAAACAATTAAACCCTAAACCCTACACCCTAAATCCTAACCCCGAATCCCCGGTTCCAGAGAACTTCACGCCGTGGAGCCCCGGTTCTCCTGGGTCCACTGGTGGGTCTCCAGCATGGACTGCAACGTGACCTTGCTTCAACTGCTAGACCCTAAACCCTAAACCCTAAACCCTGAACCCTCAACCCTAAACCCTAAACCCTAAACCCTGAACCCTGAACCCCAAACCCTAAACCGCAAACCTTGCAACCTGCAATGGATCTGCGTCAGGGGGAGAGAGCAAACTGGGTGCAGAAGGCATTCAGCCGCTTAGACCCTTAACCCTTAACCCCTAACCCTTAACCCTAAACCCTAAATCCTAAACCCTAAACCCAGCAGTACGCCGCCGTTCGTTTCATGTCCCAGGGCGGACCAAAATCCTGCATCCCTCAGCTTAGATCCTAAGCTCCAGAACCCCAGAGCCCTATAAAACCCTAGAACCCTTCAACCTTGACAACCTTAAGCCCCTAAACCCTATAAACCCTAAACCCTAAACCCTAGACAAACCTGAGCAATCCGCGCAGGAGGACTGCTCGTACATGAAGTAGAGATGGGCGTGGTCTTCCAGGGCCTGTGGGGACCCCCGTTGGGTTGTGAATTGCTAGTTTTAGGTCTGAGGGTTACAGGGTGGAGGGTTGTTCTAAGGTGTGGAGCGTTCGGGCTAGGAGCTTCGGGAGGCCCGCAGCCCTAAACCCTAGATGCGGCGCCCCACTGTGATCCTGAAGCAACTGCAATTACTTGGGACATGACCCCTGTTTTTTTTGTTTAATTCATGGGGTGGTGCCCCAAGCAACAAATCACTTGTCTGTATTGTAGTAGGATCTCCAAATTTGGTGGTCTATACCATGGGTTAGACAGGGTGGTAGAGGCATGAGGGCCGAAAAGAAGCCTAAAGCAAAATAAACCAGTGACCCTCAACCCGAACTTAGGATGTCGTAAGTCCTAAACCCTATCCCGACGTTCGGATGCCCTGAAAAGAATCGGGACCCTTAGCCCTAAACCCTAAACCCTAAACCCTCTTCATGGCTTCAGGGCACTTTACGTCTCCACTCCTCGTGGAGGCGGAGCACGTTGGCGTGGTCAAGCTTCTGGAGCTGCTTGACCAAGGTACGCACCTGCTGAGGGTTTAGGGTTTAGGGTTTAGGGTTTAGGGTTTAGGGTTTAGGGCTTCGGGTTTGCAGTATAGGGTTTAGGGTTTATGGTACAGGGTTTGGGGTTTTTGGTTTTGGTTTTAGGGTCTAGGCCCTGGGTTCCCCGAACATCCTTAGAGGCCCCTAGCCCCATGCTAGAAGCCTGCGGAACCAAAGGTGACGCACTCTGGAGACAGCTGAGGCCGTGAGGACTCCCTTCGGGATTTAGTTTTTAGACTTTTTTTGGGTTTAGGGCTTACGGTTTAGGCTTTAGGGTTCGGGCTTAGGGTCTTAGGGTTCTAGATTTAGTGTTTAAGGATTGAGGGTTTTGGACTTAGGGTTTAGGAGTGAGGGTGCAGGGTTTGGGGGTTTTAAGGTTTAGGGTTTCGGGGTTTAGGGCTTAAGGTTTACCCTAGGAACCCAAAGCCTACCTTCCTACCTACCTGCCTGTTGCAAATCCTGACGCTCCAACAAGAAAGTGGAACGAACCGTTACCTTCTAAGAAGCGGGGGTTCTGAAGATAAGGAAAGCACGGACTTGGTTTGGAGTTTCTGACAGACCGTGCAGGATTCGCCACATGCGTATGCGCCCTAGACGCTCAATCCTAAACCCTGAGTTTGGGGTTTAGGGCTTAGGGTTTAGGATTTCCAACCATACATGTGCATCAAGAACTTGCCCTGCGAATCCTGTAGTTATCGCATCCCACACGACAAAAAAACCTAAACCCGAAACCCGAAACCCGAAATGCGAAACCCTAAACCCTAAACCCTAGACCCTAAACTCTACCTCCACTTTTGGTTCTCCGTGCCTCCTTGGGTCCTGTCCCAGGAGGAAGCTCATGCTTGGGCCTCAGCGCAGTGGGAGACCGATGTACGTAGGGCTTTCGGTGTGACGGGTTTAGGGTTTAGACGGGACAGTGCTCTGCGATTCGCGACTGACGTGGTGGTCGGCTGAAGATCTGGGACTGCTGCTGCTGCTGCTGCTGCTGCTGCTGCGGCGGCAGGGGAACGCACACGGTGGAGCACACACACGCTGCAGAGCTTTGAAACTTGCACCCCGGAAATTCTCCACCCTAAGCCCTAAACCCCGCACTCCGAGCCCTATAAACCTGCCCAAACCATTCTCTCCAAAGCTTCCCTAAGCGGTAACCTTTACATCATACATCTGGGCTGAACATCTTGAGACCAAGGCCCACCCCACGAAGCCCTCTCCCCAACTCTACGGCTTTTCTTAAAGAATCTCCAGGGCGACCCCTCGGGATTGCGTGCGGATTCTGCCGACAAATAATAATGTCTTATGGTTTGCTCACCCGGCTACTTCGCAACCTCTCTGCAAGCGCAGAGATATGCAACACCACATCCTATACTATATTTAGGGGGTTATTGAAGGAGGCTGACAGCTAATCGCCAGGGAGAAAGGGGCGCCACTAAAAAAACATGCACTTCCTCAAAAGAGCGATCCCTCCCTAGCGTGCACAACATATGCAAAACCTTTCACGGGAGCCTCCTTCTTCCTATGCTCCAAGCCCTAAAGCCTAAAGCCCCAAAAGCCTTCAAGACCAACGAAAGCCTAAACCCTAAACCCTAAACCCCAAACCCCTAAACCCTCCCCGGCTGAGCCCAGGAGCTTGATGAGGCACAGCCTCTGGATGGACGTCTTCCGGTGGATGGCCTGGACCAGGCCAAGCCTGCCGCTGCTTAGGGTTTAGGGTTTAGGGTTTAGGGTTTAGGGTTTAGGGTTTAGGGTTTAGGGTTTAGGGTTTAGGGTTTAGGGTTTCGGGTTTCGGGTTTCGGGTTTGGGGTTTGGGGTTTGGGGTTTGGGGTTTAGGGTTTAGGGTTTAAGCAGGTTTAGGGCTTAGCGAGTTTCAGGGTCTTCTTCGAGCTGATGGGTTAGCAAGCGAGTTTTAGGGGTTTCTTCGCGTTTAGAGGCTGAGGAAGCACTTTCTGGAGTTGGTGGGTTTAGGGTCTAGGGTCATGGCTTTGGGGAGGGGGTTCAGGATTGTAGGGCTTAGCGCTTTAGGGCTTTCAGGATTAAGGTTGCATTTGCCTCACGAACGACAAACCTACTTTTTGTGGGATGTCTCAGAGTTCTGAAAGATGACCTACAAAGCAGGGCTTTAAGGCTTTAAAGAACGCGCCGATCCTCTGTTCGCGCGCAGACATGTTGACTTTCTGCATCGTTCGATGCGTCGCGGAGAGTCACATCTGCAGCCAACCTCGGTATTTCTTCGAATCACCGAAGTCGTCTGGGGAGCATCCAATGCAACAAGCCCTGTCTTTTCTGTACACCGCAAGCGCACGGAGAACGCTTGTCAATCCAGGCACCCGCAACAATCTGCGGGCGCAAAGAAGATCTATATGCGCATTGCGAGGGCTGCTACGGCCCAAAAGGTTGACTCGCCGGAGTTGTCTCTTCACATGGCAAAAAAGAGACTACAGAGTCCAAGGAATTGGAGGATCCTGTGCAACGTCCCTGTGTGATCCTGTGTGCACTGCCCTGGTCAGAGTCGTCGTCGGAGACCACAAGAGGCTCATCAGGCACAAGGTTCACTTGCCTCTCGTAGGCAGCCAAAGCTCGTAGCTGCCGAGGTAACCACTGTGGGTCGGCAGCTTGAGGACCCCAAAGTTCCATGGCTGGAAGAAGAGACCAAGAAGAGAAAGCAAGCAGAGTACACAGTGTCTGTGGAGGAATGAAATGCGACAAGTGGTCAAATTGAGGAAACATCGCTGGCGCCGATGATTTCGTGTGGGTGGCATGAGCAAAAACACTATTTATATCGCAAAAAACGAGTCCCGGGAAGCCACTGAACCTCCTGAAGCGCGCGCGCGAACAGGGTATCGTTCCCTTAAACCAACCAGGGTACCTTTCTTGTTTTATTCCTAGGTTACTCTTGGGTTCTACTCAGGACCCTAAACTTAAGGTTTAGGAGAGGGGAGCGGGGGCTTAGGGCTTTTGTGTTTGAAGGCTTTCGTGGGCCTTCAGGGCTTTGTGGCTTTAGGATTTAGCGACTGAGGGGTGGCTTTGGAGGCTAAGGGCTTGATTCAGCCTAAACCATAAACCTTAACCCTAAACCTGAAACCCTTCTCAGAGACATTGGGGCGATTTTGAAGGCAGGCCCACCACGTTGTAGCCCTTCTTTTCTGCAACATTCTCGGTTTAGGGTGTAGGGCTCTGCAAAGTTCATGTCAAGGAAATGTCTTCAATGCAAATAACCCCAAAGCACTGGGGCTGGCACGTCTCTCACACTGTCGCTAGTGCCCATCGTACAATTAATTTGCTTAAGAACACCCAGAAAGAATAAACAAGTCCACCTAAGGGCATTTTAGGGACTATTTTCTTTTGGTTTGTGGGGGCTCTCCAGCCAAGAGTAGGATCTTGTCCGGCTTGCCCAACCTTTGCTCGCAGAGAGTGCGCACACCCGCGTCTCGCGTGGCTCAGTTGACCCGGGCGTCACCTTCAAGTCTTCGATTCCTTACCACAAACTCGTCAAGACGCCAATGGGAAACCAATGCAGACCCGCAGATGCGACTGCCTCCATCTCTCCCCTTTCGCAAGGGCGCTTGCCATCTGGGCCGATGATGTCCCAAGCGGACTGTAATCCATGAAGCGTGCCGTTGCTGGGTGCACTTCTCTTGGTGAGGGTGTGAAAAAAGGGGCCTTAATTCAATTTGAATAGCTAGGTTGGGCAGCTTACAACTATAACCAATTAAAGCCGTTAGAAGGCGATGAGAAGGTTGAGGTGCTTGGGGCTTTCCAGTCATGGCCCCCGAAGAGCCGTGCATCAACCCCCGGCGGCCTGTTGGGCACCAGGATGTCGGGCCAGCCAAGTTCGTCGGTGTTGTCCAGAGAGAAGCCCGCCTATGCGGAGGGCTTGGAGGCTTCAGGGTTGGGCTCTCAGCCAGGGTTTCAAGGGCACAGGAACCCTCACCCCAACCTTAGGCATTCTGGGGATGTGGAGCATTTGCCTCAGGGTAGTGACAAGAGCCCTTGGTCTGGGCCCTTGGGGAGCCCATAATGCTCTCATATGCAACCCGCGGGCCCATGCTTCAGCGCCTTTGTAAGAAAGGAAAGGACCACAGGGGCAATATAGTCAGAGGAGACCATTCCCGTTTTCGGGTCATAGGGTACCCCCCACGCCAAATTTTCAACCCATTCAACCTTAACACCTAATTTTTTCTATCAACATACCAATATAACCACAAACTTTTTCAACCTAAATTCATTATTTTAAACAAGCATACCAATTTGCATTTTTCCAATTTTCATTAAATTTTGAACACTTTCCGAACTGTCGGCCACTTGACCCCATTTTTACTATTTCTCATTTTCGGCACCTAATCCAAAACTCATTCCTCTAAAAGAAATATTATCATTTTTTACTACTATAATTTTGTTGCTTTATTAATTTACCAAATTAAAGCAACTTAACAAATACAGTTTTCAATCAACCAAAGCAATTTTCATTCAAGTTTCCCACCCAAAATCTCAATCCCAAAAACAGGCCTTTGGGGATCACCAGTCCCAAAAACAGGCTTTGGGGGATTACCAATCCCAAAAACAGGCTTTCGGGGATCACCGATCCCAAAAACAGTGCTTTGGGGATCGCCAATCCCAAAAACAGGGTTTCGGGGATTGCCAATCCCACCCCAAGTTTCCTACCCAAGTTCCCCTATTTCCCCACCCAAGATCTCAACCCAACTGACATAGCCCGAAAACGTGAATGGCACCATAGCCCGAAAACGTGAATGGCGCCATAGCCCGAAAACGGGAATGGTCTTCTCAAAGAATTTGGTTCAGGGTTTAGGGTTAAGGGTTGTAACAACACTGTAATTATAATATATAACTGCTTATGCATTATAATTACACTATAACTATGCTGGTTAGGCTGTTTAATCCATTAAGACAAACTCAGGTTTATTCATAAGAGTTCCAACAATTTTATTAAAGTCCCTAATAAAAACGTCTGGATTAAAACCAAAATCGTTTATCTTACTACGAATATCAATATTTTTAATATCCATCCAGTCCTCATATATCCATTTGAACACTGTATATCTTTTTGTTGACAATTTCTTGAACAGATTATTTTTAACCCTGTCATAACTGGGAAAGTCATGTTTAATTGAGAAAATAAGTCTATCTACATCATATATATGTAGTATATTACGTCTGATAATTCCCTCTATGATTTCTTTTTTGTGTTGGCGTTTTTCACAACTACGGCAAAAATAAGCAAAGCTATAAATACTATTAATAATATTTTCTGGTAGTGACAATTCATACAGAGTGGAATAACGTTCGTGTTTCTTACAATCTTTACATTTACAATTCCGTCGCTCTTCCTTGAGTTCCCGGAAGTAGTCGTGAACCTTGACAACATCCAAGAAGTTATTTGTTATTTCATCCCGTTCGTTTTGATTGAACATTTCCCTGATAATATACAAGTTGTTGTTTCTTTAAGTCATTTTCCTCAGAAATATTATTTTCTTAAGATTTACTGCATCGCGGTTTATTTGACAGATTTATCCAAGCATTCAGAACAAGTCGCAAAATATTTAACATAGTAATAAGAATGCTTACCAGCGTAATAGCAACGCTTAAAACAATCAATATTTTTGTCTTGCTTACAACGATAACACTTCTTAGTAACAATATTATTTGTTTCAGTATATGGTTCAAAATCAACTAATATCTTATTTACTTTTATTGTCATTATATTAATAATATACACATTTTCATAATGCGAGATTATGAAAAAATGCTGGAGTTTGCATTCCCTAAGATTTAATGAAACTAATTGCGAATTCTTATCATTTCCACACTCTTATGGTGTGCTTATGAAGCTGTTCATCACACGGGAGCAATGGGACCAATAATTTATCAAGATTAGATGCCACAAATACAGGCGTTGATGTTTACGGTTTCTTTACTACAACAAATAACGCAGATATTGGAGGAACTCTAACCTGCACCGCCTTGATTGAAACATCGGATTTTAAATTAAAAGAGAATATTAAAGAAGTGAATACCAAAGACTGTTATAGTGTAGTTAAATACATTAAACCGAAAACCTTTAATTTTGCCAAGGACGAAGATAAAAAGAGTAACCTAGGATTTATAGCCGACGATGTGAAAAATGCTAAACTGCCCCCTGAATGGGATAACATAATCTTTTATAATGATGATGGTATGAAACTCTTAGCATACAATAAAATGACAGTTATCTTGTGGGGAGCTGTGCAAGAAATGCAAAAAGAAATAACGTCTTTGAAAGGCGAATTAACAAAGTTGAAAAAGAAGATGAAACACGATAGCGATTAAAAATATTTATCTAAATTTCATTATATGGGTTCTACATCTTCTAGATCTTCTGCTACTGAAAATATGAAACAAATAAAAGAGTTAGACATTAATGAAAAAACAAGAACAGATATGTTGTTATTTAATACTTTGAAAGATGTTATTGAAAGAGTTGAAAAGTTAGAAGAAACAAAAAGCGATAAAATATATTATAAACTACCTGCTATAAACTTGTGTAGCTACTCATTGATTTAATTAATAATATTATCAAAAAATATTATTAATCACCTATTTCAAAGCGCTGTTCAAAGTTAATGAAGAACATATTACTCACATCTTTAGCATTGGTGTTGATGTAGAAGAAGGAGTAAGGAGCAAAATTCACGGCTTTCTGATACATTTCGTATAACGTGCTTTTATCCACCAATGCGGAATTTTCTTCCAAAAATGCATTGACTTCGTTCATATTCTTCAGTCTGAAGATGAATAAAGCACTGGCATTTAACCTAATGATCGGGGCCAATACATTATACTTCTGAGTGGATAAAATGCACGAGATGGCATTATGGCGACCTCTCGTAAATAATCCGTGTAACAAGCTTGAGTATCTTACAAATTTGGGATCGTCGGCGAAATCATCCACCACTAACAGAATGCTAAACAGGTCCTTTTGTTTGTTCTTCTTCTGAAAATCAATTACTTTATGTTGAGTGTCTACGATCTTCTTTAGCGCCACCGGATCGTATTCCTCGTCGTAAAGCTGTTCTTTTTCGGCATCCACCTTCATTACGTCCTTTATGTATTTCTTTACTGCCGACCAAGTGTCATCCACATGAACACTGGGCGAGAATATGTATATTCTCTCAAAGGACCCTCTGTATATTTTTAATATCAAGTTCTGGATCAATACTGTTTTACCGCCTGTTGAAGAAGCCACACACAACATCCGCGCGGGTAGCTTCGGCATCATGTCAAACTTGCTGTTTTTATATTTATATTCGGGTATGTCTATCGGTTCTACTTTAGGTATTTCTGCACTCATTAACTAATAAGAGAAAAATATCTTTTAATATAATGGATAAGTATTTAGAAACGATAGAGGAGATTGAGGAAATTGAGAAGATTGTAATACAAGACACCAAGCTTAAAAGGTGTTGCACCGCTTCTTTAGAATTGCTTAAAGCAGTTCTTGAGTATTTAAAAAAATCTAAGAAGAATTAATGAGCGAAAATCATAAAGAACCTAACGAAGGTGGTTTCCACTTGAACACGGATGGGTTAAACTGTTTGCCCTGCAAGTGCAGAAGAAAGACTTTTCACAAAGAAACTAAG